TCGGTGATATGTTTCCTTTACAAAAATATTATGTTCCAAAAGAAATTACATGTTGAAGACAATATAATCAAACTATAGTGTTATTTGTTACATGATACATCAAATAACCAATAAAAAGAAACCAGTCAAAACGGCACAAAATATTAATCGTGCAATACTTCTTTATACACCACATTTGCTGTATAAACTCCATCACCTTTTGAATTTTCGTTAGGCTTCACTAATACTTTTGTATTGCAACGTGAAACCCCTCTGGACAATGCAACATAAAGTTGTCCATGCGAGAATACTGGGTCTGGAAGATAGATACCTACATTTGGAATAGGAAACTGTTTCCTCTTCAGCTTGAATGGGAACATATCATCATCAGATGGACATAAAGGAATCTTAGGCAAAAATATCCTTTATCCAGCATGTTGACCAACAGCTATTTCTGCATCAATAACATTTTGCTGAAAGCTTTTGCATATCAATCGGGTGTCATTACACAACCCATTTGCTGGGTCAGTATTCCATAACAGTATTATCGGGCATCCAACTTTTAATCGAAGGTAGTGCGGAGGTAAACCACTAACACTGATCGAGTTTAAGAATTCCAACGGATAGAAGCCATTTTTATCATCTATGGCTTCATCGATACTATAGTAAATTCTCTCTTCTCCGTGAAATCGATCGATCATGTAATCGTTAATCGCATCGACGCTGTCATTTTTTGTGGATAATATTGCTCGCGATATGATATAATCTGATTCAGACCTATTGAATTCCAAGGAGGGAAACACTGCATCAATCAAAGAATCCAATGATTTTTCTTTATCAGTGTATGGAATGACCATATCATCGGGGATGCGAATAAAACTTCCGTCCACTGTTTCTTTAATCCATCACCGACCTGTAATAGAAAGTTTGAGAACCATGGATCAGTAAGTGCTCTCATATTTATTGTTAACCACAACTTTATAATCGAAGACCAAAGAGGCGACATTCGTAGGCTAGAGTCTACAATTTGTGCTCGTGTCCCACGTCTTACGACTGGCAATACTTGTCTAAAATCGCCTCCCATAACCATTATTTTTCCACCAAAAGGGAGTGCCACCCCAGTGATATCTTGGATTGTCCGATCAAACGCCTCCACCACCTGTCGCTTTGCCATCGATGCTTCATCCCATATGATTATTTTTGCAAGCCGAAGTAGTTAACCGGTACCGCTTTGTTTTTGGATTCTACATAATGAGTTATTATCTGGAGTTAGAGGAAGTTTGAAACACGAGTGAGATGTTCTCCCCCAGGCATGTTATTAGCCGCAACAAAAGATAAAGCTGTGGCGAGTGCAATATGACCAAGTTTGCATATATTAGCAAGTAAAGCTTTGTAAAGATATGTTTTTCATGTTCTGCCAGGACAATCTATGAAGAACACTCCTGTACAATCAATACACACATGCCTCATGATCTCATCATACGCATATTTTTGTTCAGGATTGAGAAACTCTTTGGCACGAAAATGGTCATCTTCCACAACTATAGAGCATTCTTCTTGTACCTCGTGAAAAACTCCAGACTGTAAATTCAAATCAGTGTTTACAGTCGGGAGATCAAAGTTATCAAGCTTGTTACCCATAGATTGTAGGAATACGGTCATGTCTGTGAGGACCATATTTTGTACTCGATTAGCATTGTCGTATTGTCTCCTATAATCTTCTGAGAGAGAACTGTAGTGGGCATTCCATAACTTGCGAACATCTCCAGGATCACAAAAAACTAATATCGTTGCAAACAACCTTCTGAGAGCATTTGGAAATTGAAACAAGGAGGCCTCTGCAAGACATTGCGATAAACTATCATCTGTCTCTATTAACCCTCTTTCAAGTGCCGCTTTTCGAAATGTGGGATGTCTTACGTTATTGACTGTGTAGAGATCTTCAAAACATGTAGGACCCCTAACATGACATAATAACACGTGCAGATAGTATCGCTCACCTTCAGCAGGATTTGCAGAAACCAAACGACCTACTGCTGGTGATACTTTTTGAGGATTCCATAGACGCGATTGTTTATTCCATGTGAAGTGTTCGGGAAAATCTTTGTATACGTATTGTCTTGCATTAATGTTATCTTTATTCATCTTGAAAAATGCAGTCAACATTGATCTCTTATCTCTCTCCCTCTCAACAACTGATATCATTGCATCATCATCAGTGAACCTAACCGACTGTTGGTTCGGTAGATGCAACTGAAAAGTGATCACATTAGGCTGGACCTTATTAAGAGAAAAGCTAAAAATTCGCCATACTGCTTCCGGAGCGGAGACGTATCGTGCATCCTGAAAACGT